CAATTCGATTATTATTTTTAATATTTATACGTCAACTTCGGGTTCCTCTAAATAAATGCCCGGAGTTCTGAAATACTCGATAAATAGCTCGAATGGCATCGTGCCAATAAGGTCTACACGTCCCAACTCGTTTCTCGGCAAACCGAAATCTCACGCGACCTTGCGCGCGGCGGACGTAATCGGCTTTTTCTTAACATCACCGGCGGATAAAATAAAAGAAACGAAATCGGCCTCTACTGCTCATTTACTCCGGCAACCTCGCGACTGAAAAGACCATGCTGCTCGTCTTCTCCGACGAAGGCTGCTGCGGCACCAACAATCGCCGGCGAGGGATGACAGAAAGAAAAAAAATATGGTTCGTCGACGGCTGAAGAAATTGATCGGGACCTGCTATTTGTTTCAAAGAAATCCCGGCGTGATGCTTTGAAGGTCATCGCCGAGCGGTTCCAGAAGTACCTCGTCGATTGCTGCTACTGCTTGTTGTCACTGGCGGCCGGTGGTAGAAACAAGCGCGTCGGGGAAGAGCTGACCGGACGAACAGAACCTGCTGCTAGGGTCGAAAAAGAAAATCGACGTGGAATTCTCTTCTTCACAGGACTAGAAAGGAACGGCCGGTCAACTCACCTTCTCTGGCGAAAATCTTCTTCTCCGACGAACTTGAAGAAAATGGCGGAACTCGAATAGCAAAACTCGCGGAGGATGATGATGATAAAAAGATTGATTGATATATGCTGAAGGGATTTGGTGTTCACTCGAATAAAAAGGCGAGAGGAGAGAAAAGAGATTTTTGTTTCTGGATTACTATGAAATCGGCTTTCACAGAACAAAGAAGAATGGAAAAAGATGATATATATATATATATATATATATATATCTCACTTTGTTGAATTTATAATATATCAACTCTTGGTACAACCAATATCCACTACACATAAAAATGGTTTAATAATTTCCAACTCATGCGCATATGCTAAAGAGTGGACTTAGTTGTCTTATTCTCGACAATTGATGAGGGATTTTACTGAACCAATTGCATCTGGTCGAGTCCCACATGCTATAAAATATCATTAGACAACTCTTAAATAAACAAGACACATCTTTTACATCTTGCTTAAGTTATTACTTGCGCATGTTGCTCTTGATTTCACTATGTGGTTGACTTCAATTTCTACTAACACAACTAATCAGCTCAAATAATCCCAAACCTCTTGAAAATATTTACATGTATCAAATACATATATGGTATGAAATTAATCAGTTTATAACATATCAGAAGGATGTGGTTGAAATGAGAACCAAGTCCCAGCGTGAGAACTGTGAGAACTGCTATTTTTAATTGTATGTAATGCTATGATTAATTGTGTTCTAGTGCTATTTTTAACTAGGATGTATTTGATTAAAAATAGCAATAAAATTTTTATTAGCATTTGTGAAGAATGATAGCACCATGCAATATTAAAAATAGCATCATACGCAACTAAAAATAGCATCAAATATGGTTCTCACGGTTCTCACATCAGACCTAGTTTTTATTTGAACCAGCCCCTATATATATATATATATATATATACATATCTTATGAAAATATATGGCTTATATTGATCTCGATACATTCTAATAAATCGATAAATATAAAGTCGACAATAACAAAAACGACCAAAATTAACGACTTTCACTATACTTAATAAAAATATATTCTAATATCTCGGTTAAACTCGGAATATACAAAATGTATAAATAAATTAATTATCTTAAATGACTAAGTTAGACACTCATGTCTAATTAATCAGAAAAATTGTCGAACAATTCAAAATAATTAATCCCTACTAATAAAGTCCATTTCTAAAAATAAACGGACCGGATTTAATTAATGAACTTGCTCGATTACTGAATAAAATTTAACCGAGAATACTTTTGACTTAAAGTCGAACTTTGAATTTAATAACTTAATAACTGGCTCGGACTAAAAACGATCATTATAAATAAAAGTAAAATAGTTCAAAATTAGAACTAAAATAATTACTTTTATTAATAACAGGATAGGATATTACAATATGAAATCTTTTAAGGAGGATAATCGAGTCCGGAGTAAGCACATCGTGAGGTGTAGAACCGTCCTTGTTTTGAATTTTGTCCATCGTAGTCTTAGAAACTCTCGTTCTTTTACTCCTCTCGGAGTTTTGGGAGAAATTTTTTTTATATTGGGACTTTCGCGATCCCTTGCACACATTTGTTCTTGTTTTTGTTCAAGTGTTGCAACCTTGCAGATCAATTAAGACAAGTATTTTGTTCCACTTGTCTTATACTAATTCTTCAAGTTGTGGTTGTGTCTTTCGGACTGAGTGATCCCCTGTCATTTTTCTGGACCTAATGGATCGAGTATTCCATTCATATCTAGGTTAGTATGTCATCGCCCTTATCGATGATATCCTAGTCTAATTTCGAGATGATGTCAAGACAACCAATGGAACCCGACAAGAACACCACGATTGTATAGTCATGTCTTTCGAGCTCAGCCACACGCTGACGACTGCTATGAATTGTGTAGTGGTTGTATTTTCGCCGATAACATCTTAGCCTATTCCTAAGAACCCCGGGACATAGCAAGAACATCTGAAGATGCGATCGGAGACATTTTGATGGGAGGAACATCAAACTTGAATTCCGAAGTGTGAAGATTGGGAGGTGAAAATGAGTTGCGCTCGTTTAGGACTGCTGACACGATTAGCTACTTGAGGAAGAGCTGACGTGACGGCCGATGCTATTAGTCAGAAGAGTCGAGGCGAGCTATCTAATTTAATGTCTCGGCAGGAGCCGTTGACTTAGGGAGAATCGTCATTAGAGTTCTTTTAAAATTTCGCCTATCGTTAGATCTGTTATGTACTGCATTTTGTTGTTTGGAAAAGTAGTGGACTTGGAACTCGGACTTGCACCTTACTATTTCTGAGACTCTTGAAACTTTTCAAATAGTGGAACACCTGAATGATATATTGCTTTGTTGAACCCAAGTTTTTTTTTCGAACAAATTTGTAGAACCATTTCTTTTTCGTGGCCTTGAGTTGTAACTTCCTTGTGAAACCTTGGACCGTAAGTCAGCCCTAGCTGGGTGTAGCCACGCGAAGTGGTGACCGAGCACGCACGACCGTGGTGAGAGACGTGAGGCTAGTGCACAGCCGACCGTTGACTCGCATGCGAGCTGCAGCCGCCATTACCGAACGCACGAACTCCCCAAGCCAGCATGTGCGGCCAAACCTCGACCTTGCAGCTGGTCTCCGAGTAGGTGTGTACGCGTGCGTCCCAGCGCCCCGCTTATGTAGCGCCAGCAAACGTGCCGCCTCTTGGGTGACAATGCACTAACCCCGAACCATCGATTTCTTTTTAAGCTATTCGATCAGGTTGCTTGATGAACCGTTTGTTAGCCTCTTGAACCCTTTTCTTGCGAACTTTGAACCGAGAGCTCGAAGTTTCACTAAACAGTGTATGAATCGTTAATCAATGGTTTTTGATTAAGGAGTGTGGTCGATAAGTTCCTATGCCTCATGCGAGAGTTTCTCGAGTTGGCAAGATAGGAAGTTTCGTGTTGTTATCTGATGGAGCCTTATGTTGCATATAGAGGCAACGTTTGACTCGTAGAGTCGATATCATTGAGAGTATGATTACATTGGGGTTGAACCGTATACCGTGTCGACATTTCTTATGGAGACGCACGGTCCGTAATGAGATCGTGAACAAGTTTTTAGTATGACCCGGGCACGAGACTGAAGCTGGGCGTCACATATCCAACTGGATTATTGGGCAGTCGGAGTACGCTAGCAATACACCGATCGACCTGTTGGGGTCTTGTGTGTTGTTAGGTACGTTGCGAAATGGTTGACACTCATGGGTATAGGCCAAGCCGGACTGGGTCCCTTGCAAGAGGACGTACACCTGGGCACGGGCAAGATGGACTGCCCTCTCATGCAAGAAGGTAAGCATATGAGCATAGGACGAGTCGGATTGGGTCCTGTATGTGAGTGATGGGGTTCGGTCGAAGCTCTCCATTGACAGTAAGATTGATTTGTTTCAAATAAATGCAGAACTGATCGTAAGGGAAATGACTAGTAAAATGAAGGAAGCCATGAGTGTCTTACTGTTGAATTTCAAGAGAAGACGTAAGAAACACCGACTGAAGGCAAAATGGTGAATATTCTTCAAGTTGATGGGCCAGATTGTTCGCATAAAGACTAATCTATGGATTGAAGACTTAATTTCGTCCATTGAGTGAAGCCCAATTAAAGTGTCCATTATTTTGTCCATTTTCAGCATTTTTGAGACCAAAATGGCTCTTTAGTTATCTTAGAAGCCAAAAGGTCATTCAAACCTCATGTAAGATTCATTATGTGGTCAAAGCTATGTTTTTAGTGCATAATGAGTCCCAAAAACGGGATTAACTCATTAGCACCATTTGTAGCCTTTAAAAAGGCCATTTTATGTTTTAATGATAATTAAGAATATTGCTGAATATTAAAAATCACTTTTTTGAGTTTGAATTCTCTTTTGTAGAGTTTCAATTGTTTTTGAGAACTTATCAAGATACTTGAGCAAGATCTTGTGGCGTTCACCATACCGAGGTTCCTAGCTGATTATATAGCTAACGGGTCGAGGTTTTCAAGCTCTAGGTACGATCAAACTAGATCTCCGATCTGGGATTCCACTGCCTAAATATACATTTGGTTCTTTGATCAATATATCCAATGGGTCTCACGTGCTATCCGTATCAGTTTGGTATCAGAGCAATCTAGTATTGATCTCATCTTAATCTTCTTTTATCAATCTTTGTGTTGAAAAAAAAAAACGAAAAAAAATCCTTGTATTTTTCTACGAGGATTGTTAAAAAAAAAAAGAGAGAGAAAATTCTGTTCGTTCGAAAAAAAAAAATACTAAAAAAAAAATGTGCAACAAGGAGTGGAAGGATATCCTGCAATCAAGTTTCCAAACTTTAGAGCGGATTGAAAAAAAAGATGTTTCGTATGAGGATCAAGTTGCCACCCAAATCTTCCGAGTACTTGGCCGCTGTATGTTGGGCGAACCACAAGGAGACGCGCACGGAGGCGCGAAGCGGGGGGCTGTACGTGGACAACATGCCCCAAGGTGGAGGCGTGGCACTATCGAGCAATTCTAAGGGTAAGGGCAATGAAGGTAGAATCGCCAATGAAAGGAGCAAGGAATACTTATTCTTGTTTGAGTTTCCGGGATACTCTGAAGATGTGGAGGCCACCAAACTCGTGGACGAGCACATGTAAACCGAGTACAAAGATCCACGTTTGGTTGAAGACGAGTTCAAAGATGTACCAGAATCATTGGAGTATGATGGTCCTCCTATTTGGGATGACAAGATTGATGATGTTGTGGTGGAGGTCGATGAGGTCCACAAGGAGAAGACACCCAAGTTCGAAGAGGTCCTATGTGATGTTGTGCCAATGCATGCTAATCATATACTTTTGGATTCGAGGACGAATCATTTTGAAGAAGAAGGGAATGATGGGGTTCGGTCGAAGCTCTCCATTGACAGTAAGATTGATTTGTTTCAAATAAATGCAGAACTGATCGTAAGGGAAATGGCTAGTAAAATGAAGGAAGCCATGAGTGTCTTACTGTTGAATTTCAAGAGAAGACGTAAGAAACACCGACTGAAGGCAAAATGGTGAATATTCTCCAAGTTGATGAGCCAGATTGTTCGCATAAAGACTAATCTATGGATTGAAGACTTAATTTCGTCCATTGAGTGAAGCCCAATTAAAGTGTCCATTATTTTGTCAATTTTCAGCATTTTTGAGACCAAAATGGCTCTTTAGTTATCTTAGAAGCCAAAAGGTCATTCAAACCTCATGTAAGATTCATTATGTGGTCAAAGCTATGTTTTTAGTGCATAATGAGTCCCAAAAACGGGATTAACTCATTAGCACCATTTGTAGCCTTTAAAAAGGCCATTTTATGTTTTAATGATAATTAAGAATATTGCTGAATATTAAAAATCACTTTTTTGAGTTTGAATTCTCTTTTGTAGAGTTTCAATTGTTTTTGAGAACTTATCAAGATACTTGAGCAAGATCTTGTGGCGTTCACCATACCGAGGTTCCTAGCTGATTATATAGCTAACGGGTCGAGGTTTTCAAGCTCTAGGTACGATCAAACTAGATCTCCGATCTGGAATTCCACTGCCTAAATATACATTTGGTTCTTGGATCAATATATCCAATGGGTCTCACATGCTATCCGTATCAGTGAGTGTATGCCTTTTGAGTTTAGGGCGATAGGACTCATGCGAGCGGGGTCGAGTATCGGAGGGGATACCCGGACCTCATGGATGGAAATTGTCGCTTGAGTCTGTCGTGTCCTCTTGTTGCGTGTTCTTTAGTATTTTCGAGGACAGAAATATTTTAAGAAGGATAGATTGTAATGCCCCGTTCGAATATTGGATTTTTTTCGATTTTTAGTTTAATTAATGGCATTTTAATTTATTATTTATATGCCTTGATTATGTGATTATGTATTATATTATTATGTAGATAATGTAATTATATAGCTCGTTCAATTTTATTTTATCGATCGCCGTTTCAATTTTCGGTTTAATTGCGTAAGCCGAATTGTTGTCCGTTTTAATTCGGTTTTAAACCATTGTGCCTTTGAGCCAAGTAACCGAAACCTTGAGTCACCTTAGCCTTCTTTCTCCTAAATTCTGGTCCTAAACGTGTCTAAGTGGCTGGAGCTAGGAGAATTAAGCTTACCAAAAGCCTAGTCAATCCAAGTTGGTATTTATAATCAAGTTTATTATTTATTTTATTCCTAAGACTAGCATGTGCTTGCATTGTTTTATCTTATGCTTTAAGACCTTATCCCCTCTCCTCACATGGTTTAAACGTAGCATCTATCAGCCCTAATTTTCTACCACTCCTCCACATGCAAGATTCTAACCCATGTTCATTTGATGTGAGAGAGTCAACAAATGTCCCCCACATGCTCCTAAGTTTTCAACCCACCATTTTGTGGTCTATTAAGCCTCTCACCAGCCATTTGTCACGCCATTTTCTCTGCCTTTTCTCCATCAAAGTCTTAGAAAATTTGTCCTTAAACTCTCCCTCAAAAACATGAAAATCGGGAGTGAAACTATTGTGCTATTGAGTGCATGTTTGATTTGTTCTTGAGGGAACCCAACTATAATTTCTAGTACCAGTAAGTTTGCATTCTTATCTCATCCTACACTCATCAAGGAAGAGATTAGTATCAACAAATTCAAGGATACAAGCTAAAAGGCCCCAGCTATACGAGTTCAAACAACAACCGAGAGCACCGAGCATTATTTCTTTCATTTCTTTCATCTTAGTATTTCTTGAAGGAGGTAAGGTGATACCTTTTTAGCATTCTTAGTAAATTATATTAGGTGTTTAATGATGTATTTACATGCCTTAGATGTTCAGTTTATGAGTATTTTTAAGCATGCTAGAAGATAAGTTATTCTCAGCTCATATGATTTTTCCTTATGTGCTGTTTTAATGCGAATTTAGCTATGGTATTAAAAACCTGGTAAAGTATGATTTACATGAATATTTCTTGAGTAAATGAGGAGTAAATTAAAATAAGAATCAAGTCATTTGGCCTATTATAACTCGAGATATAGATTTTTAAATTTGATCATGCAAGCTGAATTTTTTGTGCCTGTTTACAGCAGCAACTTTAAACTTGAATAATTCGAGATATATGCATGATAAATTTATGAACTTTTTGTGAAATGTCTCCATATGTGTTGAGACTATGCCGTCCAAATTTCATGATTTTAGGTTGTGAAATTAATGAGTTAAAATGTTTAGACCCCATGCATGTCAAGATGATTTTATATGAAAGAGTACACAGTCCATGTTCGAGCTTTTAACTTGAAACTTTTATGTATAATTCTCACATGAGTGATGAACAATTTGACCAAGTTTCAGCTTAGTATATTGAGTATACAATTTTATAAAATTATTTGAAGTCTCGCATGTAAATATCATAATTTTGTGTTAATGATTAGTACATGAGTTGAATGGGCAGATTATATTTATTGAATGTTTGGCGTTTAAACTCAATCCTTGAATGTTTGACGTTTAAACTCAATCCTAATATCATGATTTGCCAAAGTGATCTTCAGCAAAGTTGTAGATTAGGATGTTATCTTTCCAATGGTTTTTGAATCTAATAGAAATCATGCTCGTAGCTTATAATATCCTCGAATTATTGAGACCCTGTAAGTTAGATATTTCTGCTTTGGACTTCGACCATGACTTGAATGTATGCTGCAAAATATGTGATCAAATGACATTAGTTGTTGTAGTTGTCTTCATGAAAGTTTTAGGAGCATGACTTAGGATCATTTTCCAACTTGAATCATGATCATATGACTTGTGTGCTGAGAGTTTCATTCATTTTAAAAATCGTTGCGTGTTATTTTGCAAAGTGAGTCGTGTGAGGTAGATACACGAGCAGTGTGGCAGAAAGGAATATTATTCCGAAATATTGAGATAAGTATTTTGAGATATTATCTTGATCTAATTGTAGGTTCCTGAGGAGTCAGTCTCATCTATCTACCGAGCTTCGTATATACCATTTCTTGTTTCGTCAAAACAGGTGGGTATATTTAAAATGCTATGTCGTAAATTTATTTATCACTGCTGTATGGTATGATCACTATATGCATGTGAACCATGTAGCCTTCGATGTGAGTTGTATCAGCCATCGAACGGTTATCCCTATAGCTATAGAACGGATCTCGTTGGGGTAATCTCCTCTTTTTCGTCCTGAGCGAAGGACGCATCGCTTGTAAGACCAGGGCGGAGCTCGGTCGGCGATAAGTACCCCGTTGTAAGACCAGGGCAGAGCTCAGTCGTCGGAGGAGACTCCTACTGTTAGGACAGTGTCATAAGGCCTAAGCAGGCATACGATACGTGGACCAGCAGTAGTCTATGCGTAGGTGTGCACATGAGAATGAACTTTGGATAGGAGATGAGGTAGTTTATTGATTCGTATACATGCTGTGACCATACCTGACTTATATTACGTGATATTTATGTGCATAGTGGTGAGCACCACCTATTCCATATGTGCTCACACCCACTTTTTCTTCACAGATGCAGGTTAAGCAGGTGCGGGCACGACGGAGTGGAGCGAGTGGTGGTTGGTCTATTTGACCAGATCATTGATTAGTTGCTTCCGCTATTTTGATCCTATTTATGAATTTATGAACTTGGGATAGTATGAACATGGGAATTTATGAACTTGAGAATTTCATGATGATTTGAGACAATGATGGGAGAGATGCCCCTTTGACAATGAGATGATTTTATGAGACCCGGTTTGGGTGAATAATGACTTGTGATGAAACCTGATTTGGGATTGATTTTATGATTGATATGATTGATACGAATATTGATCTTGATTTTAAATGAGTAACGCCATAAATGTTTTGAAATGAGTTTCGAAAATTAAATTGATTTTTCTGAAAAGCCTGGGATTTTCGTTAAATCAAAGTGGGGCGTTAAGAGTTCCATAAACTCTTTAATCGATAAATTTTGATTAAGTAGGAATTTCTGATGAAATTCCGAGTTATCGAGATAAGTATTTTCTAGATATTATCTTGATTTAAATGTAGATTTTTGAGGAGTCGAGCCTCACCTACCTACCGAGCAGTTATGTGATATCTTCATGTCGTTAGTGTAACAACAAATTTCGTGTATTGAATTTAAAAACACGAAAAATATTATTCAAATGAATTTCTTGAATCAAAATAATATAGCGGGTTTTAATCTCTATTATTCCTCTGATTCTTCTCACGAACAATTTTAAGTCTTGGAGCGAAATCTTCGACTTTATCTTCTCCTTGACTTGATTTGACTTAAATTAACGTTAATCCGAGGGCCAACGCCTTGATTTCGGATCAAACGTCGAAATATCCCAAGAACGCGAAGAACACGAATTCTTGGTCTTCGTCGCAAAGTAGATCTTGAATCTTCTTCACGCCAGTTTTGAATTTACTAACGTTATTCGGAGGCTTCGCAGCTTGTTTCCGGATTGAACGCCAGTCTTGAGGTTGAATGCGCTTGAATCTTGCTTCGAATCTTCAAAAACGCCTTTGAATCTTCAAGAACACTTGAATCTCGTCGAGAGAATTCTCTAGAGCTCTTGAACATTGAATATGAAATATGATGTGTGTGTTTTTGACATTAGGGGGAGCCCCTATTTATAGGCGTAGGATGGAGAACCCTACCAAATTTAAGAATCGTAGGACACGATTTGATTGGTCCATGATGATTCACATAAGATCTTTTAGATCTACTTAGATCTTCCAAGATCTTCTAGATGCCATATGATTTATTACCAAGAATTAAGATTTGACACTTGGCATTATTTGATTGGTCAAGAATTAAAGTATTAAAATTTCAATTAATTAACAATTTAAATTTAGGAATTAAATATATGGGAATTCTTAAAATATAAATAGAAAATATGACTTGATTTTTAATAAATTAATTTCCACGTGGCGCCATTTGATTGGCCACAAATTTTATGTCTCTATAAATGCCCCCTCGAGGCTTGTTCACGGACGACGTGTCTTGGAGTGAATAAGTCGCGATTTCTTTTGAACATAAGGATTGGGTCAATTAATCAAAAGACCATTCTTGAATTAATTTCCAAGCTTTGGCCCAAAATTTACTTAATCTAAATTAATTAACTTCAAACTATGCAGCCCATTAGTGAACTTCCCAAATTACCTTTCAAACATGTGGACCATTAATTATATGCCCATTAGCCCACCAAACCATCAAGACATCTCTTTCATTAGCCCACTTAGTCCAAGCAAATAATCACCCTCTCTTGAATGATATTCAATTTTTAATTACAGCCCATGAAATGAAATTCCTTCAGCAGCACTGAATGCCCCTCTAGACAAATAAAAATTTCTTGCAGCAGCTTATCATACCTTATAAAGAAAATAAAACCCGTCTCCAACAGATGGAAAATATTTCCATCTCTTCCGTACTTTCTACATGCGTTCCAACTCAATACCTCGTCTTTCCTACAAAAAATTGAATTTTGGAAGAAACCTATCGTGCAAACTTGGAAGGAATTCTAACTCAATATCTCGTCTTTCCTACAACAGCTTGAAAAAATATTCAATTTCCAAACTTCTGACTGTAAAGGAAGAAGCTTCTAGTTTTGGATTTTAAATCCTTCTCCTAATCAGATTGTAAGTCCTCTCTTTAGTATCTATAAAAGGGAGACAAATTCTCGATTTTCTTCATCAAACCAGAAGCAAACAGAGTAGGTTAATCTCTTCTTTTCTCCTTTTCTTTCTCGTTATCCTCTTCCCTTTTCCTTTCTTTTTTTTTTTCTTTTTTTTTTCTTTTATTTGCTGTATGCGTGTATGAGAACTTGTCTTGGATATTGTCATCTGCAGAATCCTTTTGGTGGGCTATATTAAAGAGTTCATATACATCCATCTCTCAACTTTTTGGCAGTAAGGCGCTCGATCAATTTCCCCAAAGGTATTAACAAATTAATCTTGCAATGTCTTCCTCGTTTCTTTTCTTTTGCTGCGACATATTATTCGGGCTGCTCGCATTGCTGTTGGGGACGTTCGTATCGCTGCCGGGCTGCTTACGGGCTGAATCGGGGACGTTCAAGAGCTACCGGGCTAAAACGGGGCTGAACCAGAGCTGAACTGGAGCTGCCGGGGCCGTTGGGGAAGCTGTTCGGGCAGAAACGGGTCTATTTTGGAGCTGTTCGGGCCGAAGCTGGGCTATTTTGGAGCTGTTCGGGCAGAAACGGGGCTATATAGGAGCTGTTCGGGCCGAAATGGGGTCATTTTGTAGCTGTTCGGGCTGAAACGGGGCTATTTAGGAGCTGTTTGAGCTGATTCGGGGCTGTTTCGGAGTTGTTTGAGCTGATGTGGGGTTGTTTCGGAGCCATTTGAGCTGATGTGGGGCTGTTTCGGAGCCTTTTGAGCTGATTCGGGGGGTCTACTTTACAAGCACTTCTATCCGGGAAAAAAGATATCTAGTAGTCCTCGACACCAAGTACCAACCGCTAGAGAAAGGGACCCGTTTTGCAGTTGAAGACCCAATCATTGGTGATTTTTCCAAGACGTGGCCAAAAGTTAAAAACTCCATGAGCGAGTGGACTCAAGAGTGTACCTACGGGAAGTCCAAAGCATGGATCTTGCAAGCGACTCACCACAACCAGCAGAATGAGACAGAGCCGTCGCCATTGCCTACTTTAGGACGACGCATCACACGAGGTGAAGCTGCATGGGGAGAAACCATCAACTTTGCCGGCGAATTTCACTACACGCGAGGATACTGGGAATGGACTGAAGACATACTTAGCCGGTGCAAAAGCAACCTAATCAAGGCAGAGATTTATGATGCTGTTTACGCTTCGCTTTTCACCTACGACTGCAATGCCGAGATCATCAAGGCATTCTGCGAGGCGTGGTGTCCTTCTACCAACACACTTTTAACGTCTTCCGGGGAGCTTTCAATTTCACTATGGGACCTACATACATTAGCAGGACTTCCATCGAGTGGGTTTATTTTTGACGAGGTGGTGCCGGATGCAGACGAGTTGGTCGGGATCAACAAAGACAAGAATTTATGCCTCCCTCGCTGCTGCAGATACCTTTTCTACGCCTATCATTTATTGTGCAAAGAAACCGGCGACAGACAAGTATCAATCGATCGATGGGTGCAATTTTGGTCGAAGAAGCCCATCAAATACAGACAACCCCCCAATCGTGCTGACAAGAGGAACGGAGAGAAGAAGAGAATAATTCGCCTCAAGTCAACTTATAATCCACCCGGCACCTTCGAAGAACACCGACGCTGGACCTCCGCCGAAGATCTATTGTTCAAGAAGATGGTCGTGACCGAGCCAAAGCTGCAAGAAGAAATTCATTTGGCGGCCTACCTTTCCTGTTGGATGTGCACATTCGTCCTTCCTAACGGCGATGTCGACATAATTCGTCCGGGCACCTTCAAGATACCAAGCATGATGGTCAAGGGTGAGACGGTCGGTCTCGCAATTCCGGTTTTGACGAGCATCTACAAGGGGTTGAACTAGTTTACAAGCTGCATAAGTCCATCTCGATCGATTTTTCGCGTTCACTTTGTTTACGGCTGGCTGGCACTCTATTTTAAAACTCACTTCACAATTGGTCAAACACGCAAGCCCATGATAGTGACATATTCCGGTGAGAACGGCGCAAGACACTTTGAGCCTGAGGAAGCCCGCAGGCGTATCCACAAGGGGGACTCTGCTTTATGGACTTGCAATATCATCATCAATGACCAGACTTCCCGATACGTCGATGATCAACGAAGACCTGGATACGAATGGAGATACTTCATGGCGATTCGGTCTAACTACCTAACGTGGCGTCAAGGCAATCGTTTTCTTATAGAGCCATATAGTCCTCATCGATTCAGTCGTCAATTTGGGTATTTTCAAGATGTTCCCGGCATTTTAAAGAAAGACTTTCGTGAGGGCTCTCTTGACGACGGAATTCACTATTGGCAACTGAGCGTTCTATGCGGATCCTCATCCAAAGCTTCGTTGCCTTGTGCCTCAACAAATGCGAAGAAATCAACTCCAGCTTATAAGTCATGGTGGCATCAAGTTCATGGAGGCTATCTTGAGCGTCATATAGAGGATTTACTTGTGTCAAAGCCCAAAGTGATATCTTCGAAAGACAAGGAGCTAGTTGTTGACCAGGGTGATCCTACAAGTGAAGATGATGATGCGCTTCTCGCCTGAATTCCTGGGACCAATAAGAGAAAGAGTGGGTCCACCTCTTTAGTAGAAAGTAGCAATCCCGATCGACATTGGAAGAGAGCAAAGCGAACGACTGATTCTTCGCAGCACGTGGAGAAAACAGTCGAAAATCAACATGAGACAGAGGATCTCATTGCTAAGGTTTTCCCAAGTCTATCTCTTCTTCTTTACTTCTACCTCGAGTTCTCTTTCTAATTGATGTTTTTCAGGCTCAACGGGACGTCTTTGGTTCTGACGATGACGAAGAGTCTCAAGACGATGAAGCGACTTCTGTAGCAAATGTTCCAACGTGTGCAAAGAAACCTACTGCTCAACAAAATCTTCATACTCCAGCCGCTTCAGAGTTTAAAGGGGAGAAGTTCATTCTTGACCGTCAAAATAAGTATCTTCAAGGCATGTGGCACGACCTCCGTGACAAGGTCATGGCGACTCCTATCGATTTCTTGTCTTCCATAAAAGAAGAGGTGTCACTCGTTCTTGATGCTATGTGGCAATACGACAAGTTTGACCTTTCCACTATTGAGAGCTCATTTAAGGTTTGTTTGACAACGCCGACTCTTATGACGGAGTACGGTCTAAATCTTCGGAGAAGGCGACGAAGGAACATATTGCTCGACAGTTGGCCGAGGCTAAAGATCGTCTTTGTGAAGATAAGGCGAAAGAGGATATTGAATCAAATCAAGTGAAGTCCACTCAGGATGAGCTAAAGCGAGTCACGGAAGAGCTTGAGCAGTTGAAGACAAAGGCAGAAACACTATCCAAGACATTGAAGCAGCAGCAGGAGTCACTCGACAGTGCCAAGGCCCAGGTGAAATTAACTCAAGAGAATGTCCTCGCCATCAGCAGTGCTCCATCGTTGGACGAACAAGTGGTTGAACAGTTGAAGATGTTGAAGTCAAATTTGAAGGCGACTAAAGAGAAACTAGGAAGCTTGAATCTTTTTGTTTAGTGATGTTTGCGACTCTTTTGCTTATTTCTTCATGTAATAAGACTCAAGGTTATGGAATGGAATGATTCATTTCTTTTTACATCGTGCAATCTCAATCTCGAACATTAGCATTTGTTGCACTTCATTTCCTCGCCAAATCAATCAAAATTGACTAACTTAGAAGACGAACATAATTTATGACTGAACTTAGAAAATATCTAAGCTGCCTACATACCTTTTAAAAGGATCAAGTCATAACGTAGTTCAAAGTAACATGAATTTGTTTAGGGGGGGTGCCGTGCACAGTTTATACTCATGCGGGCCAGGAGTGACTATTCTTTAACTACTTTTAGACAAAGTAGAGTATTAGGTTTAACCACATAACACCTTAGTGGAGAATTAACAGTTTAACCACATATATTCGCATTGGTGGAGAATTTAGCAGTTTAATCACATGCAAAGCTTTTTGGTGATTACCGTTCACAGTTTATACTCATGCGGGTCAGGAGTTCTTCTCTCTTTTTTTGTTTTTTTTTCTATTTTTTTTTAATTTTTTTTTAAATTAATACATAGTACAACTAAGCGTAGTAGGGTTTCAAGAATTTTCCATTGATAGGGCCAATCTTGACTCGATCCTCCGAAATCAACTTATACGCGCCATTGGTGTAGACTTCCGTGACGACATACGGTCCATCCCATCTTGACACGAATTTGTTCCCAACACGATGAGTAGTTATGATGGGTCTCCTCACAGCAAGCACCAGATTTCCTACTTGAAAAGAACGAGCTCGGACCTTCTTATTGAACGATTTTGAAAGACGAGCTTGATAACATTCAAGTCTTTGTTGTGCTTCCATCCTCCTCTCATCAAGAGCTTCTAATTCCTGAAGGCGCAGTCGTGCATTATCTTCTTCAGTCAACCCTTCTTGTATGGCGATCCTCAATGATGGAATTTGATGCTCGAGAGGAACGACAGCTTCAACACCATATACAAGTGAGTACGGGGTCGCTTGAGTGGGAGTCCGATAAGTGGTGCGATACGCCCAAAGCGCTTCATGAATTCTTTCGTGCCAATCCTTCTTTGACTTAGCTACAACCTTCTTCAAAACACTACATAAAGTCTTATTGAATGCTTCAGCGAGTCCATTGGCGGCCGCATTGTACATAGAAGACTTTCTTTGCTTAAAGTTGAACTTCTCGCAAAGCTTATCGATCAGGCTGTTGCTGAAAGGCTTTCCATTATCCGTTATGATGTACCGTGGGATTCCATATCGGTAGATGATGTTTACACGAATGAAGTCAGCAACATTTTCTTTCTTCACTTCTTTCAAGGGAACTGCTTCAGCCCATTTTGAGAAGTAGTCAGTTGCAGCCAAAATATAAAGATGACCACCTGAAGACTTTGTTAGAGGACCAACCACATCTAATCATCAAAAGGCCATGAAGCGACAGTTGGGTGCAACGGCTCAGGAGGTTGATGGATCAAATTTGCATGAAATTGACACGCTTGACATCGTTGGGCATAGTCCATACAATCTCTAACCATTGTCGGCCAGTAGTATCCCATTCTCTTAATTCGAAAGTGCAACTTCGGACCAGACTGATGAGCGCCACAGACGCCCGAGTGAGCCTCTTCAACAGCTTGAGCAGCTTCTTCGTCGCCTAGGCATCTTAAGAATATTCCATCGAACGACCGTCTATACAATACATCATTGAAATAAACGAAGCGAGGCGCACGACGTCGAACATCAACCCTTTGTCGTGGATCATTGGGCAACTTGTCATACTTCAAGTAATCCACGAGCAATTGACGCCAATCTTCCTTTTCAATATCGAATACTTCAACCACATGTGTTTCATCTTCATTCCAATCATCATCGTCGAAAATCGGAGGTATAACCCAACTTCTACAAATTTGCACTCGAGCCCTATCCTCAGGAAGGATGAGTGAAGAAGCGAGTTTCGCCAAAGCATCAGCTTGTTTATTATTCTTCCTCGGCACATGTTCGATCGTAACATCTCCAAGCCATCCCATGAGCCTATTCGCATAGTCGACGTACGGGAGCAGCTCAGGCTTCTTTACATCGTATTCTCTAAGAAGTTGGTTTACCACCAGCTTTGAATCTCCATAGACCTTCAGATGTTGTTGCTTCATGTCCACGGCCATCTCCAACCCCAGAATTAGAGCTTGATACTCCGCGACGTTGTTTGAACAATTTTCAGTTAAAGTGAAGGAATACGGAAGCACTTCTCCATGGGATGTCACAAAGACAACTCCAGCACCAGCTCCTTCTCTATGAGACGCTCCATCAAAGTATATCTTCCAAGGAGGAGCAATTTCAATGAGAAGAACGTCCTCATTGGGTAGTTCATCGGACAACTCCCACTCAGCAGGAATAGGGTGATCGGCTAAGAAGTCTGCCAGAACTTGTCCTTTTACTGCCTTTTGAGGGATGTAGACAATCTCAAACTGTTGAAGTTGAAGATACCACCTAGCTAAACGGTCTGAGAGGACGGGTCATGTCATGACATACTTCAATGGATTTGCCCTTGAAACAAGACGAACCGTATGAGCTTGAAAATAATGCTTCAACTTTGGAATTGCAAAGATCAGCGCCAAACATATTTTCTCTATCGGTGAATAGTTCAACTCATTTGGTGTCATCGTTCTGCTCAAATAATATAAGGCACTCTCCTTTCCACCATCATTTTCTTGAGCCAGCAAAGCTCCAATAGAGCGTTCTTGTGCTGCTATGTAGAGAATAAGAGGACGACCAGCCACTGGCGCAATTAACACAGGAGACTTCATTAAATAGGCCTTTATGCTTTCAAAAGCATTTGTACAAGATTGATCCCACTCAAAAGGAACACCTTTCTTCATTAGATGACTAAAAGGTTGGCATCGTCCGGCTAAATTTGAGATGAACCTTCGAAGGTACGCCAACTTCCCTTGTAGACTTTTAAGCTCATGAATGTTGCGAGGCTCGGGCATTCTTAGTATTGCATCGACTTTTGCTTGCTCGATCTCTATTCCACGATGGCGGACAATGAATCTAAGAAACTTCCCCGACTTGACACCAAATGCACACTTCAACGGGTTCATTTTGAGTTGATATCTTCTTAGGCGTTCAAAAACCATTCTTAAATCTTTGAGGTG